GCCTTTAGGAAGGATGTTCCTTTCCTCGGCAAAGGTTGTTAGCCTTTTAGCGACAATTTTTTCTAGCACCTTGCCTATTATATTAAGTAGGGCTATTAGTCTGTAGGCCTTAAGCTGCGTATAGTCTTCCTTCTAGGGCTTCTTTAGCACTACTATTAGGGACTTCCTAAATAGTCTTAGGTAGTGTCCTAGTACTAGGCTTTATAAAAAGATATTAGCTAGTACTAGGACTAGCCCCTTCCTATATACTTTTAGAAGTTTGTTGTAGATCTTGTCTTCTCCTAGTGCCTTGTTGCCTAGAATTTTCTTTAGGATCCTTTTAATAGTTTCGGGTTTAACCTAGGTGTCTCTTAGTATGCCTAGTAGTAGAGTCTCTTATTCTTTCTCTTTTATATCTAATAGGTCTGCTTGTACTTTTCTATAGAAGAAGTATTAGCCTAGGGCTCTTGCTTTCCCTTCTATTATAGTCTGTATTTGTCCTTGTTAGTCTATAATGTCCGGGAATTGTAGTAGCATATCTTTATCCTATTTAGGTCTCCTTGCCTATTTAGCTATCCTCTATATCTCCTCTAGTTTCTTTGTAATCATTCCTATTGTAGATCTCTATTCTTGTATCTTATCCTTCTTAATCTAGATCTTCTTTTCTTAGTAGGCTTTGTTATAGTTGTCCTATACTTCCTAGGTGTAGGTTTGTGTCTACTGCCTCCTAGCCTTCCTTACTGCTTTAACCTTCCTTATATACTTACTAGTCTAGTATAGTTACTAGTATAGTGAATGTTTCTTTACTAGGGTATGCTTTCTAGCTACCTACTTTAGGATTCCTATTAGTTCTTCTACTGCCTTGTTAATGTCCTCTAGCCTTAGGAGGTACTTTATTAAGAGTTCCTCTAGTTTTGGGTCCCTTTCTAGTTCCTCCCTAATCCTATCCTATTAGGTACCTTTCTAGTTAAGCTTCTCCTCTAGTTCCCTTTCCTAATTGGCTTAGACATTTAGCTCAATCTATACCGGGAAGTGGTCTAATAATTCTTCTAGCTCCTAGTTGACCCTGCATCTTATAATCCTGTTCCTAATCTAATATAATGTAAAGTATAGGTCTAGTATGCTGCTGCTTCCTCTTGCCTCCTAAGTAATTAGTCCCTTTAGGGTAACAATTTCTATTCCTTCCCTCTCTAATATATTAATTAGTCTTCCTACTAAGAAGTAGTAAGCTAGGGTAAAGTCTAAGCCCTAGAGGGGGTAGTAGAGGTTGAAATCCCTAAGTAGGATTTAGTAGGTGTTCCCCTAGATAACTCTAGGTAGTCTTTCTAGGGTTTTTAGTTAGGTACTGCTTCTTAAGTCTAGTAGTAGGTTGTATATATAGTAGACTTAGAGTGTACCTTAGGATGTATCTACTTAAACTAATATTAGGTCCCTATCCTCCTATAGTATAGCCTACTAGGTTTCTGTATCTATCTCCTTGCTAATATAGATGTATATCCTTAAGGCTCCCTAGTTGTAGATAATTAGGTAGTATCTTAGGTCTTTGACTATTGCTAGTCTCTTTATATATAGGTTAAGCTAGGGCTCTTAGATTGTAATAATGTAATGTTCTTTTAGGTTTAGTGCTTATAGGAAGCTCCTCTATACCTTGTCTTTACTCTTGTTGATATTGTACTATATAATGTTTAGTAATGTTGCAATGTTTATTAGGTTTTATCTATATTATTTCCCTATAAGTTTTCCTTTAGTCTTCCCTTACTTTAGACTAATATTTAACTAAGCTTTGTCTACCCTACTTCCTTTCCTACAATGTTAAGGTATCTTAGTCTCCCTAGTTGCTAGTGACTCTCTTATACTAGTAAGGCCCTAAATGTAAACCTATTATCTTGTCTAGACCTCTTTTATAGCACTTAGCTAGGTTGCTTCTGCACCTAGCTGCCCTAGCTTGTTGCGTATCTTTTTAGTATATTGATTCTAGCTTCCTTTGCCTTCCTAGCTGCCTATATTCTTACTAGGCATTCCTTCGCCTAAGAGGGGTGTCTTTTAGTATAGTATACATATCTTGCCTCTCCCTTATATGCTTTGCATTCTTTAACCTAGTAATCCCCTATATAATAGGAGTAGGTATTAGTTATCTTTATGCACTTAGCTACTAAGTGTCTATAGTATTGACATTTAAAGTACTGCATTATCCTATAGTTGCTTCTATGTATCTCTGTTTCTAATCTTTTAAAGTCCTAGAACAACCCCTAATCTAGCACTATATTAGCTTACTCTGCACTCCCTACCTAGATAATTAGGGAAGACTGCTTCTTAGTCTCTTTAATTTTCCTTTTAATCTATACTACTTTTGTAATCTTTAGGCCTAGGCATATAGCTTAGTTTTATCTCTATAGGCTCTTAACATCCTGTTCTTCCTTAAAGCTTCTTATTATGCTATAGGCTATAATCATAAATTGCTATTAGGAGACCTTTACTATTTTCCCTATCTTAGTTATCTATTCTTTTTGTGTTTCTAGCTTCTTTTTATCCTACTCTTATACTATAAATAGCTTAATTACCCCTTTCCCTTCGTTCCTAGCCCTAATTACTTCTTTAACTATAATTCTTTCTACAATCTCTTTCCCTATAAGTCCTTGGATTTCCTTTTGCTCCTATAGGTCCGTAATATAGACTCTAACTACTGTCCTCGGGGGTTTTAGCGCCTCCTAACTAGCTACTGCTGCCTAGGTACGGTAGTTTAGGCTTATCTCCTATTGTTTCTTCGTAATCTTTATTGCGACTGTATTAGCTACCTTTGTAATTACGTAGCTTGCCTAGCTATAGATTGCTTTCAGTCCTCTAAGGAGTTCTAAGATTATTATCCTATATGCCCTCTTAGGGGTTCTTCTATCTTCCGCCTTTAGCACCTCCTCTACCCTAGTATATAGTGCTTTCTATTCGTCCTCCCTTCCTTCGTAACTGTCTTCCCTTCGTCTCTAATTGTTCGCTGCCATTTTACGCTATATCGAATATGTGTCTACTATATATATAGTCTACGTAGTCGCGGACATTTCGCAATATTGTCTATATAAGACTAGCGTAATCGATAGTAGAAGCCGGAGGTAGATAAACTATAGGCGTAGAGCGTACCCTTACTAGAGTCTACAATTAGAAGGGCTCTTTTATAGCGGCAAGTAGACTAGCAGGTTTACGAGACTATATCTTCTCCTTATATTACTATATCTTAGCGAATACACTATACGGCGGCTTTATTAAAGTTACGCCTTCTTGCTTTATAGTAAGGGTATAAGACTATAGCTTTATAGCCTCGCTATAGAGCTAGTAATAGTTACGATTAATATCCGGCAAGCCTTTAGGTCTATAGCAGTATTAGCTACAGTTCTCGTAGCTAGGGAGGGTATATATATAATTAGCAAGTAGCTTAGTCGTATAGTTGCCTAACTTCTGTTCTTTAGCGATAAAGGTAAGACCGTCGATATTCTACTAATCGTTCGGCTTTAATTTACTAACCTTAAGAATAGCTCTAGAGCCGGTATCCTTCGTAGTAGTCTTAAACTTAATATTAATCTTAATCTTGTCTCTAGCATTATTTATTAACTCTACGGCGTAGTCGAGAGCTTTATTATAATTGTCCGCTATAGAAGAAATTAGTATATAAAGTTAAGCGGATATATCCGTTAGATAATAGTAAGAATATCGTTACCTTACCTTTCTTCTAACTCTGCTTAAACTAGTTACTCTTTGGCACTTTAAACGTAGATACGATTAATATATAGTTACCGATATAGAGCTGCTTCTTCTACGCTTCCTCGACGGCCTAATAGTACGCATCTTTAGTATATTAAGTACTAGCGCCGGTACGGTTATAGTTCTCGAAGGCTAGCTTATTATTACTAGTAAGAAGGCGCTAGGTTTGCTTATACTATAGGTCCTTACGAGGGTTATAAGACAGCGTAGATATATCTTCCTTATTTACCTACTAACCCTTTACTAGGCGCCGCGCCTACTATCTCGTAGGCGAGGCTTTAGCTAAACGCGTTAACTCGCTAATATTAACGCTAGCGATATTAACTTCTACGGCCGTAGTAGTATCGTTAATCTAGTATTCCTTCTACGCCGTAGCCTCGAATGCTAGTATATTATTAAACTTCTTCTACTACGCCGTCTTCTGCTTTCTGCCGCCGCCGCCGCCGTCGACCTTCTTCTTACTTTTCTTTTTTATAAGCGACTTACGCTACTTAGTAGCCTCCTTATACGCTAGTAGGTCCTTCGAAACTAGCTTCCGCGAGCGAGACGCGCGTACCTCCGCTATAGCGTAGTATTCGAGATATAGGCGCTAGAGATTAGTCGCTATTAACGTAGTAATAAGAATAGCGACTTCTAGCGATAGTAACGTATAATAAGATATTATAAGAGGCTAGATTTAATAGCGGTAAGACCTTATATAGGCATTATCGTACTTAAAGGTATAAAGAAGTCTAATTTCGAAGATCTACGAGAGTTATAAACCCGGGTTCTTAGTATTCTTAACCTTCTAGAAAAGTATAGTAAATAGTAGCTAGCTTAAAGACGTTAGACGTAAACTTCTTAAAGGTGCGAATAATATCTTTAGGCAGTACACTAGCTTTAACCAGTTAGATCCCGTTTTCAGGGATTACCCCCGTCCGCCATCCCGCTTAATCGTCCTGTACTTAGAATACGCCGTTCTGCCACGTGCAGCGCCTCGCCTCGCCTCGGCCTTCGCGTGATCTCGCCCAGAATGGAAGGCAGCTTGTACCGCCACACGTCTCAAGTCGCCATCGCCATCGCCATCACACTTCACGCTCGGCTCGCCTGCCACAGACGTTCCCAGGCGTCAATTTCTGATTCTCCGTACATTGTTTTGCATTATTCTACTGCCACGCTCCCCTCCATGCGCTGAAACACGCCCGCCGTCCAACAGCTTCGGCTTCTTATCTGCTTACAGCATCCTTGAGCCTACGTTACGCGACTCGCCAGCTGCAGTCGCTCGACATATCATGTGGCGCTTCCTCTGCTCTGCGTCCATAGCGGCACTCCTGTCTCTACCATCCACAGTCCTCGCCGCCCGGCAGACGCATCATCAGTACTACTCCACCAGCGACCATCTACTGCTATCCCGCAACCCATTCGAGCTATACCCCCGAGACAAGCGACCCGAAGACTGCCCGCCATGCTTCAATTGCAACTTGGCAGATATGCCCTGCCTGCAGTTCGGCAACTGTACCAAGAGTAGTGGCAAGTGCTCTTGTCCTCCGGGCTTTGGTGGCGACGACTGCAGTCAGCCTCTATGCGGTGCTCTTCCGGATGGCAAGGACCGATTGCCTCGCCAAGGAGACGAGCCTTGTCAGTGCAAAGAGGGATGGGAGGGCATCAATTGCAATGTGTGCAAGACAAATCAAGCGTGCAACGCTCTGATGCCAACGGGAGAAGGCGGTGTGTGCTATCGGGAAGGTGTGATGCAGAAAGAGAACTTCCAGATCTGTGACATCACGAACAAGAAGATTTTAGACACGCTGAAGGAGAAGAAGCCATCAGCCACCTTCAGCTGTAATGCTGAAAGAGCCGAGTGTAATTTTCAGTTTTGGGTGGACCAGAGGGAGAGCTTCTACTGTGGTCTGGACACGTGCAGCTGGGAAGCGCAGGCTAGCGCGAACCGAAACACGACCAAGTACAAATGCGAGAACATCAAGTGTAAGTGCGTGCCGGGTCGCATGCTCTGTGGCGAGAATGGCAGCATCGACATTGGAGACTTTCTGGAGGAGGAGATCAAAGGCCCAGCGGAGTTCAGGTCGACCAGCACTGATGGTGGCTCGCCGGACGATGGCAGTGCCTTCTCTGAACCTGGAATGAATGGCTTGATTTCGAGCGTTTTTGGCGACAAGAGCATCTTCTTGAAGTGCCACAGTGGCGAGTGCCTGTACAAGAATGAAGTGCCTGGTTACCAACGACCCATCAAGACCATCAACACGCCGCTGATTGCTGGTGTCATTTCTGGAGTCGCGCTGTTCATTGTTGCAGTCGTACTGTTGATCTTCTTTCTCAATCGACGATTTGCTGGTCGTAAATGGGGCTACATCCATCTCTCCGAGGACGAGGAGGAAGAGAACGCCAGACTGCTTGCTGACCACAAACCTGCCGCTCTCCTTTTCGAGAACATCTCCTACAACCTCAAGGGCAAGCAGATTCTGACCAATGTCACCGGTGCTGTGCATCCAGGAGAGCTCATGGCGATCATGGGTGCTTCCGGCGCTGGCAAGACTACATTCTTGGACATCCTCGCTCGGAAGAGGAAACGTGGACTCGTCACAGGCGAGGCGTGGTTGAATGGCGAGAAAGTCTCAGATGACCAATTCCAAAACGTCATCGGCTTTGTCGACCAAGATGATACCATGCTCCCAACACTGACTGTGCACGAGACCATCTTGGACTCTGCCCTGCTGCGACTGCCAAGAGAGATGAGCCGTGCGGCAAAGGAGCAGAAAGTGGAAGACATAGAACGACAACTTGGCATCTACCACATCAAGGATCAGATCATTGGTTCCGAGGACTCTGGTCACGGCCGCGGCATTTCTGGTGGCGAGAAGCGACGTGTAGGCATCGCTTGCGAACTCGTCACCAGTCCAAGCATCCTGTTCCTGGACGAGCCAACGTCTGGTCTCGATGCATTCAACGCGTTCAACGTCATCGAGTGCCTCGTTACGCTGGTCAAGACCTACAACAGAACAGTCGTCTTTACCATCCATCAGCCACGCTCGAATATCGTCGCCTTGTTCGACCAACTCATTCTCCTCGCCCACGGTCGGACCGTATACAGCGGTCCCTTCAGAGACTGCCAAAGTTACTTTGACAGCATCGGCTATTCCTGCCCGCTTGGTTTCAACATTGCCGACTACCTCATTGACTTGACGATGCACGCCAGCGCTCCCGTCAGCGACGATGATGATCTCGAAGAACAGCTCGCTGAAGCAGACGGAAGGATCACACGTGCTAGCTCCACCATGGCGATCAAGAGCATTCCGAGCATCAGCAATGTGAGCTTGGGCGAGTCGACAGCATCAGTTGGAGAACCCCTGCTTCGTCCACGCGGGAAAAGAAAGGATAGCATACGAAAACAGCAAGAGAGGCAGCTGTACTCCAGAAAGCCTGGCTCCATCGAGCTTCCGAGTGCCCCAAGCGTCCGTAGTGATGGCGCTGATAGCGCGTTCGAAAGAGACATGGAGGGCAGAGATCAACAGTGGGTGAGATTGAACAAGCAGCAAGGCCAGCCGATACCACACATCGCAGAAGATCCAGACAACCTCCCACCAGCCGAAGAAGGCGCGACGGGCACCAACCTAGACCTTCTCGTCTCAGGCTATCGCAACTCAGAAGTCGCTCAAGAACTTCGCAACGACATACACAACATGGTCTCTGGCACCGACATGAACGGCCACGCAACGGGCACGCCGAACGGCAGTCTAGGCGGCAAAGTCAAAGGCTACCGCAAACCCTGGATCCACAGACAATTCATCATCCTCTCCTTCCGAACATGGCGAAACCTCTACCGCGATCCCATGCTCATGCTCACCCACTACGCCATCGCCATCGTCCTCGCAGTCTTCACCGGCTTCCTATTCTACGGCCTGACCGACGATCTCAAAGGTTTCCAAAACCGCCTCGGATTCTTCTTCTTTTTACTCGCCCTCTACGGTTTCAGCGCTTTGACATCTCTCACCGTCTTCGCCCCCGAACGCCTTTTATTCCTCCGCGAACGGGCGAAAGGATATTACGCTCCCCCAGCTTACTACCTTGCGAAACTGGTCTTCGATATCGTCCCTCTCCGCCTCATTCCGCCGATTATCATGGGTTGTATCGTATATCCTATGACGGGATTAATCCCTTCTTGGGGCGAATTTTTTAAATTCATTTTGTTTATCGTGCTTTTTAATTTGGCTGCTGCTATGGTGATGCTTTTCATCGGCATCTGCGTACGTAACCAAGGCGTCGCAAATCTTTTGGGCGTGCTTGTCATGCTGTTCAGTTTGTTGTTCGGTGGATTTTTGTTGAATCATGAGACGATTCCTAAGCCGCTTTTGTGGTTGCAATCGGTAAGCAATATCCATCCATACCACCTTATATCGGGAAGGAAGTTGCTAATGATGTCGTGTGTTTAGTTATCGATCTTTCACTTCGCCTTCGAGGGATTGATTGTTAATGAAGTCCGATACTTGTCTCTCGTAGACCACAAGTATGGTTTGGACATCGAAGTCCCGGGTTCGGCGATTTTGTCGAGTTTTGGGTTCGATGTGCTTGCTTTGTGGAATGATGCGATAGGACTTGCGGCTTTCTGTGGAGTGTTTTTAGTCTTGGGGTACTTGTCAATACATTTCTTGTTGGTGGAGAGGAGATAGATGGGGTGGGATGGGAAGCGTATATATGCTAGGAAGACTGAACAAGGACCTATAGATATAAATAAACTGGGAGTCAATGTCATGATCATGAGCTGAATTGCGTTTCAATGGAAATACTATCTGCAGAGTCTAGCTGCAATGCTCCTTCCATTGCTGCGACGCGTTCCGCGTCGAATTCTCTCCACCTCGTCCTGAGACCTCAGATAGTCAAGCATGCTGCAAGTACGTAAAATCACGCCAGTCGATCCATTCTATACGCATTCCATCGCCCTCAGCAGGCCTTGAGCAGCATCGACGCACTCAAGACAACGAGCTAATCGGCATAGCAACCTCGGTCCGAGTACTCAGCACACCATCCATAGCCTTAGTCTTGAGCAACGTAACATTGGCCCGACCATGAGCAACCGCATGATCATACGGCGGCTCACCCAAACTGCATCAAAGCAAAATCAGCAAACCACCCCTGACACTCGCACTTTCCTTGCTCGCTCAACTTACCACTCATCCCTATACCACCGCTGAACCTTCAACAAGTTCCCATCCCACGCAAACCTAACATCTCCATCCACACAGCCGTGATAATCGTTCCCATCACCAGCGGCCAGAAGAGTCGAGTTCGATCCCGCCGGCAAGTAAAATTGGCATTGCGTCTTGACCTCGAGGCCGCGGTTCGTGTCTTCGAAATCGAAGAGGAAGTACGAGACGGCGTGAGGGTGTGGGTTGGCGGAGAAGGTTACGATGTTGGTGATTGACCAGGGGGTTTCTTCGATGACGGCGCTGCCTATTGGACGGTCGGTTAGTACATGTATGTACGTGAGATGGAGGGGGAGGGACTCGTTACAGTTTCCAGTCTTGGTGTTGGTGAGGTGGATGGCGATGCCGTGGGAGAGCTTGTTGTTGGCGAAGAGTGGTGAGGTGGTGTCGCGATAGACGCCGTTGTTGAAGGTTGGTGAGGCTGTGATGGTGCCGATGAAGGCGAGGAGGGTGATGAGGAGGAAGAGCATGATTGCGGTTAGTGGAGAGGGTGTAGCGAGTGTGTCTGCTTTGCGAGAATTGCAGATGTCGAGGGAGAAGTTGAAGTGGTACGAGGGTCGGCTTTTTGAATTCGAGCGTTTGACGTAACGGAGGTGAAGTGAGGCTTCCACGTGGACTGGTCTCATTTACTCGCTTGGAAGCCTTGAGGGCAGGAGCAGCTGCCTAGCTGTTATTGTTTTTTTTTTCAATCGAGATTTCTTTTACTTGACCTAACTTCAGCTACAGACACATCAGCATGAATCGTGCCGGCTCTCAGCATGCCAAGAGCTATTGCAGTGCAACAGAGAAGGAATTGTGTTGTCCTCTCCTGCCGTCCGTCTTTGTCTTCATCTTCGACTCACTTGAACACAGAATATCTCTTCAGCAAGGAGACCTCGCACAAAGGCTTGTGCGATGTTCATAGGCTTCCTTGCAGGCCGCCAAAGGTAAGGCTCTATCGTTCCACAGCATGCACTGAAATCGTCAAACGCTGCAGGCGGCAAGCTGCGACGGTGCACGAAGCCAACAGCAGCAGTCACAAGAGTGGATCCCATCGAGGCAAACAATAGATTCATAAGCTATTGTGTGGACCGCAGCGCTGACAAGTGACCAAGGTAACGCACTTGACCGACAGACTTCTTCTTCATCATTGACTTCGGATCCGTCAAATCACATTTCCCGAACCACAAGCCCTCCATGATATCCTACAATGAGTACGCTGCACACGCTACTGCCTTGAAGACAGCACATCCACGCCGATCAACGGGAGAAGCAAGACCTCTCATCGTCAATTTCCTTTGACAATGAGGTTGTCGCTTGGTTTGACGCGTTGTGCCCACTCGGTCCAAGAGCCGTCATAAATTCGGCGACTTCCATCACCGTAGCCAGCCTCATTGAGCGCAGCATCGATGATAGTCGCCGTTACGCCAGTGCCACAGCTGCAAATGATCGGCTTCTTCGGATCAATGCCCTTTTGCTCAAAGATCTTGCGGAGCTCGTCGGGTGGCAGAAAAGTCTTGGTCTTTGGGTCAAGTAGAGTTGGTACAGGAAGTGACGTGCTCCCAGGGATGTGGCCAGAGGAAAGACCTGGCCGTGGCTCAGGATCTGTTCCCTTCCACCGTCCTTCAGGTCTCGCATCCAAGATCTGCACACCCTCGCTGCCCTCCTTATTGTGCTCCCAAGCGATCTGCCTTACTTCCTCAAAGGCAGCTACCTTACTCTTGTCCAATTCCGGCGTGGGATAATCGGTCGCTTCGAATTTCTTCTGGTCGCCTTCCTCAGTCGGGTAGCCTTGCTCGACCCACAGCCTGAAGTTGTTCAGCAGGTGCACCTCTGGATGACCAAACACCTTAAAGGTCCAGGCAACTCGCGGCCCGGAGAATATGCCGGTCTCCGCGGCATCATACACAACGACAGTGTCATCACGCTTAATGCCAAGCCCTCTCATTGCGTCTCTGAAAACCTCTGGGCTGGGAAGCATGTGCGGATATGGACTGGATGTATCGGAGATCTTGTCCAGATCGAAGAATCGAGCTTGCGGACTATGCGCTTTCTTGAACACCTCATACCCTGTTCTCTGCTCCGGATCATTCGGCAGGAACCAAGATCCGCATACTGGGATAGTCTTGGGTGCAGTCGACAATCGTGATGGCGCATTCTTCTTCAGAGACTTGTCGAGCTGAGCTGGCGTGACGAGATAGCTAGTAAAGCTGCTCTCGGAGCGTATCATGGCGGGCGAGCTGAAAGGTGATCGTGGCGCCCTGAGGCTGTTCGCGAGAGTCGGTCGTCGAAGGAGGATTCTGGTTGCCATCACGCCCATGAGGTTTCCTTCTCAGCGGCTTACTGTGACATCCACACGACGGCCATTGTCGAGAGGCGGCCTTGTTCCGACGCAGCGAGAGGTGGAGAAGAGCGAGCACGAGAATCGCCGAACCACCACCTCCCTTGCTCTTGCGACAAACAGCTCTCACGAAACGTTCTTGCCCGACTTGCGGTCACGCGATGCAGGGATACAAGGACGCAAAGCTTGAGCTTGGACCCTGCGGAGGGGTCGGGGCGGCCCGTATTCTAGCGGAGAAAGCTTAACTCCGATCAAACCCGACGCGTTCTCCAGCTTCGAGGCGCGTTTCCCAGATGTTGATGTTCTACCCACCAACAATTCGGCGTCAAAATCGAAGCAAGAGCATCTGTGGCCGCTCGACAGCAGGACATCGTGCACCACTGAAGCTGGTCGATCCACGCATTCTCAATCCACCGCCGCCAAGATGAAGATCACCATCAACTCCTATAACGCTGTCGCCGCATGGAAGTGGGATTTACCGGAGGGCTCTGACGATACATGTGGCATCTGTCGGGTCGAGTTCGAAGGCACTTGCTCCAAGTGCAAATTCCCTGGGGAGGACTGTCCGATCCGTATGTGTCCGATCCATATTGCGCTCCTGTCTACGATGTACTGATCATTGCCAGTCATCGGCGAATGCTCGCACTGCTTCCACACCCACTGCATTAGTGGCTGGCTGCAGTCTGAGTCTTCGCAAGGCCGCTGCCCAATGTGCCGCCAGACTTTCCGCGAGAAAGTCGCGGAAGTCAAGTCGTCCAAGTCCAACCGGCCGCGCACTCCAGCTGCTCGTCAACCACAGCAGCGCCAAGGTAGCGCCTCTAGCTCCGGCTCTGGTTGAGAAAGAGTCGACATGACCCCCTGGAACGACCAATGCTCCCCGCCTGAGATTCCTCTTTGCGTTGGCATCCATCATCAGACCCCCCAGCCCTTCCTGTTTGTTTTTGCACAGCGCGTCGGTAAGTCTTCGCCTGACTTATACTCTTGGAATCGCATTCTGATGTTGACTCAGGAGTGATGAATCACGAGAGGACGATTGTACGGGACACGAATTGTAAGAATACTGAGATGCGCACAGCATTCCCTGGCTCGGGATGAGCAAATTGTACACATACCTTTGGCAGGAAGATTTTCGCTGGGAGAGAAACATCCTCTTGCTAGCATGGCAGGTCCGTGAAACTTGTAGGATAGATCCTAATTAGAGAAGACGCCCGGATTCTGGAGCAGAATGGACCTTTTCTGCTGTCGTTTGCCGAACCAGCTCGAATGTGCTATGCTAAGAAAGCCAGTTGCTGCGAAGACCAGGCGTGCTATCGCAGGAGAGTGCAAGTGCCTAAAGTAACAGGTTGGCACCTTGAGTATTTTACAATACTCGAGCGTGGCTGACGTTCGCATTCAGTCGACTCGATGCGTCCACGGAACAATATGCACTGTGCAGCTCGGTTCTCCTCAAGTATCTACAAGCACAAGACGGGAGCAGTGACTGCAAGGCGAAAACTGAGCACTCACATCTGTTTCCTTCTACTGGACACGAGAAGTTTCTGCACGATACTGCTCGACTACTCGCACGTTCTGGAGAACGTACGGCATTAAGCACGGAAACACGATCCCAGTGTTTCATGAGCATTTTCTCTAAGCATTGGACGCGAACTACGCACTCTCGACTTGAAATATCCACAACTATTTCGCCGGTCTTACTGGGGCCTTTCAGGTTAGGTGAGGCGCTCAGCTACTTCGCCTTCTTCCTCTCATGCTGAGACTGATCGCTTTATACCCGGCTGACGCCTTCCGTATGCATGCAAGAATCTTCAACACCGAGGACCCATGCGAGATGGCACTTCTTCACAAGTATCAACTCCAAACCCCTACCAGACACCACGAGACTTACATCTTGCCCTCACTCCGAATTCGCATTGGCTAGAATCAGAATTTCCAGTCGCTGTGTACGCCAAGGGCGGTCCACAGATGCCGACTTCCGGTTTACGGCCATGATGATGATGATGATGATGAGTTCAAGCAATGTATATGGAGAAGTCACAAAGAATTTTGAAACATCGTCTGCGGAAAGACATTTGCATCGTTCAGCATGCATCGACGACATGAGAGTTCCTTTCCAGGAGCTTGATCAGATCAATGCCGGACGCGTGAAGCTGGCTGCCAAATGGAAGATGACAGAAGATCGCATATGTTATATGGAGGACAGTCATAGCTTGACATAGACGTTACGCTGCCTTTGGAAATGCAAGCACTGAACATGAACACTCACCATGAGTCACCCAGCCAATCAAGTACCCCTCCCTCATGGACGCCGATCTACATCAAACAATCCTACTTAAGGCTTGAGCCCAAGCAGAAACATGACCAGACTGCCAGATACATCTCCATACAACTCACCTCAAATTTCAATGGCTTCCCCTTCACCACGCATTCGCGACCTAGGCTATTCCCCCGGCATCCACACCCCAGGCCCAACAAACACAATCCTCGACGTCCCAGGCGTCCACATCTCTCAACTCACCACTCCCACCACCACCACCAAAGCTTCTTCTACAGCCTCAAAAGGCCTGACAATCATAACCCCCCGAACCCCCTCCGACTACCACAAACCCCGCGCAGCTTCAACCTTCACCTTCAACGGCAACGGCGAACTAACCGGAACGACTGGGCCTTCATCAACACGCCCCTCGCTTTCACAAATTCTCTTTCTTTAGGCACAGTGTTTGATGGGGTCTCTAGGAACGAGATCTTAAGGGATGGGATTTGAAAACTCGGAGTCGGAATTATGGGACTCCGGTTGGTTGTGGGGGAGACGGCGGATTGGTTGATTGATTCGAATTTGAGGGAGAGTAGGGTTGGGAGTGAGGATTTTGTGAGGTGTTTTCGGGGGTTGAAGAGGGAGGGGAGGGGGTTTTGGAGGGACAGTTTGGTGGAGGGGCGGGTATGGCTTGTCATCAGTTGAAGAAGCACTTAGTTTCAGTTTAGAGAGAAGAGCAGCCAGGAGAGGCGAAAACTTCTCGGCAGCACAATGATTTGATATTGACAGATACTGGTACACAAGTCTACATCAACAACACAACTCGTGAATAGAACGCAGGCCATCCTGAGCTCAGAGTCAAGCTCTAAGAGCTAGTCACATCAGAAGTGGAGTAGATGCAGTAGTCGGAAGGACCGCTGGAAGTCTTCTCTGGCTCTTCGCCAGTGTCGTTACCCTCGTACTCAACGCAGATATCGCTAATACCGGATACGACGATGTTAGTAAAGGTAGCGGTGTCACCGTAGTTGGCTGTGGTCAATATATTAGCTTCTGAACTGTGCCTGAGTCTTCAATACATTGGACTTACAGTTGATACCGGCGAGGGACTTGCCATCGGTAGCGGTAATATCGTCCAAGATAACGTGGCGCTCGAACATCTCATCGCAGTTTCCGCAAGAGCGGTAGAGCTTGCCAAAGGTCTCGACGGTGAAGCCAGAGACGGAGAGAGTGCCGCCACCGTTGTGCTGGAGGACCTTGTCTTCGGCACCGAAAGCACCGCCGCCAGTGATGGTAGTGGTAGCGCCAGCATCTTGCTCCTTGATTGTGAAGGCGTCCTCGCAAACAGCAGACCACCAGACGTTGCTCAGGGTGCATTCGCCGAAGCAGTGGATTCCCTCGGCCTGGTTTGGACCTGCGTGTGTGTTAGCGTAAATTAGCTACTGAAGTAGTCTGTCCTCACCGATAATGACGTTGGAAATGCTGGCACCGGCTTCAAGGTAGAAGACAGCATCGCTGCTGCCACCCTCAGCCTGGCCAGTGCACTCGACACCTCTGTCGTACATGACCATGCCACCATCGAAAGACTGGCCAGCGGCAATGGTCTGGACGGCATCGAGAGCAGAGGAACCGGATGAGGCTGGGAGGCTGCCACCGGAAGAGGCTGAGCTCGCGTCAGAGACGCTTGCAGCGGATGTGACGGTGCTGCCAGCAGATGAAGCAGTAGAGTTGCTGAAGCCGCTAGAGCCGCTGGAGGAGGTCGGGAAGGGGAAGGAGCTGCCAGAATCTTCCTCTTCCTCCTCGTCCTCATCATCGTCATCGTCAGCAGCAGCCCGAGTGACAGTCCTGTTGGAGCTCGGTGGCGCTGGGAATCCAGTGCCAGTTGGCAGAGCGACACCAGTGCCAGTTGGCATAGCGACATCAGTACCAGTTGGGACAAGACCGGAAGCACCTGGGGCTGGACTTAATGGTACTGGGAAGCCGGATGGGAAGTGCCATTGGTGTGGTGCAGCATTGGCGCCGATGGCAAGCGCCACAAAGGCTGGGATGATATACTGCATTTTGGTTGTTTTCCGCGAGAACCGGCCGTTCAAATTTTGGTCTGCGTCTAGATATGAAGGAGCGTGCAATGAAGGAATGGCAAAGCGACCAGTCGCTAGAGAAAAGAACAAATAGCTGTGAAGAAGCTCACCTGCAGACTGTTGTGGTAGAGGAAATGATACAAGGACCGGAAAACTCGGGCATCTTTATATCTTTCTACAATGTGACTTCTCTGCAGCAGTGCAATATATTCTGACGCTCGATGCCCACGTTGCAGACCACATGGCAAGACATCTGCTTGAAACGAAGTCAAGAAAGCTTGTCGACGCAGCCAAGAGCGTTGAAGGTAAGAAAATAACAATATACAGAAAACATCGCGCATGGTTCGGCGGGCATATGGATCGGGGGCCGCCGCACCAAGCGAGCTTCACCCTCCGTTTCACGAATATTTGCACCTACCGAACCGACGCAACACTGGTCTCAAGTTGATTTCTTTGCCGCATGTTGACGATTGTCGAGACTGGAATTTCCTGGCAAAATTTGAGGGCCCGTCGGCTGAATCTTTCCTATCTTGAAATGCCATATATCTGGGCGAGTGCATCTAGATTGTCGTCATTAGCGATGGATTCTGAGTGTCAGATGATGTTCAAGTATGGTCCCGAGTTGAGGACAACCTGTGCTGCCTGACTTGTGCACACTCGAAAATGTGCGACTCGGTTGAGAAAGGAAGTGCTCAGCAATGAGATATGTGGTTACAGGTTACACGCGTAGTCTATAGGTGTAGAATATAGAAGGAGGTGTTGCTCACTTGCTTTTCGGCAAGGGAGATAGAGTTTCGGCATCGCTGCTCCCTGGTTGTCCCGCTCTCCACAGCTCTATGGCGTTTCCGTAACACCGTAAACATACATACACCGTAGCCAGCAGATACTCAGCCAGTATTGACAGTCCATATCAGCGACAATGGATGTCGCATACGACCACATCCAAGAAGAAGCGCTCTCACCCGACGAAGCCAAAGCCGCATCATCCTCGTCCTCCACAACCCCTCAAACTGCTACCAATCTCAATATCGAATTCCAAGAAGCATTCAAAGCGGTATCGTCTTCGCCATGGGGAGCAAAACTCGGCGGCTGGTTTAGTCAAGCGCGCAAACAGGGCGAAACATTCTACCAAGACTTGCAGAAGGAGGCCACGGAAGCGGGTGAGCAGGCTACGAAGGGCTTCACAAGTCTTAGAGAGCAAGTCGTGCAAAGAACGAGAGGATTGAGCTTGAATGCTGCGTCAGGGCCGGAAGTGCCAGTCCCCGGAGAGGAAGCTCTGCCTTTGCCAAACAAGGCTGCAGAGAAGCAAGCAGAGGCGGGAGGAGAGCAGACCAAAGAAGGCGAGGATAAGCCTGAGAGCCTGCCAGTGGATATTGTCAAAGAGGCCGGCAGTCTCGTCGCTAGTCTGCGATCACTCGGTGCGGCCAAGCTCAAAGATCTACAAAAAGCGGAAGATGCTGCGGACGAAGCACTCCTCAAATTCGGCACCAATGTGCGGAATTTCCTGCGTGATGCCGTGACCATTACAGGCCCCGAAAATTACAATGGGTCGTCTGCGGAGGTGTTGTTTGAGACACAGGAGCCTGGTACAGGCAAAAAGATCTTCCATACTACCAGGTTAGATGCACAATTGCACGCCATTCACAGCTCTGCATCGAGCTTTACCGATGATCCGCAAGGTGGAGCGTGGAAGTCATGGCAAGAGAGCTTTGATGTCGAGAAGCAAACAGATGCGATTGCAAAGGATTTGGAGCAGTATGAGGAGCTCAGACGAGCAATGGAGAAACTTGTACCGGAGAAAGTGGATTACCGAATGTTCTGGATGCGGTACTACTTCTTACGGAAAGCGATCGAGGCAGAAGAGCAGAAGCGGAAAGAGGTGCTCAAGGGTAAGGAGCTCAAGAGACTTTCCTCGCGCTGCGCTAAGCTAAGCTAACATGAATTGCAGGTGCAGCCGCAGAAACCGAAGAAGAAGTTGCCTGGGATGACGACGACGATGAAGACGCGTCTGCTACGCCGAACACCAACATCGGCGCCAACAAGCAAGCCTCCGAGTCCACCAAGACCCTCAATGCAACCTCAAACGACCATCTGAAGCCAAAGGAGCCCCGACGGAGCGAAGACGAGAACAAGTCTGTAGCCGATTCAGATGCGAGTTATGACCTCGTCTCTGGAACAACGTCTCGCGCGACTGGCAGTCCGAAAGAGCCGAAGAAAGATATCAAGGATGATAGTGATGATGATTGGGAGTAGATTTTGAAGGAAACCCCTACGGATTGGTGTTTGTCATTGCTATAATACCCAGAATAGACGTGCTTTTTGGCGTTGTGGGGTAGTGATGGAGGTACCCAAGAGCTAATGCTGAGGCGATTGGCCTTCTCAGCTCGTTTGCAAACTTGTTCGCAACGGACAAGGCGTCCTAAGTGGTTATGAGACAACACGGAATACAGAACGAACCAAAATGACTGACAATGACTCTATGCTGCAGTGTTCAATCGGCAGAAGCATGAAGACGTGACTGATACGTCCGCCCTGGACTGTGTCTCTTCAAGCTGCTTTGTGATCTTCTCTGCTTCTTCGTGCCGACCCAAGCGTTCAAGGCATTCATGATAGCCGTGCAGTGCCCACACATTCTTGGGATGTTGCAGTGCCCGCGGCAGAGTATTGTCGAGACCTAGATCCGCTTGATACACCGCAGCAGCGTCTTCAACGTGGTCTTGCTCCAACAGCAGAGCTCCCAGCGCGTGGCGAGGCGGCTGCATCCATCCCCAAGGCTCGTCATACGGTAGATTATCACTCAAGTCCACTGCCTTACCAAGAGCGCCAAAAGCCAGTCCGAAATTCTCTCTGCGATACTCAAGCTCGCCATCTAGCATGGTCGCTCCGATCTTCAAAATGTCCTTTGCTGTGTTGTTGAACAGTGTCCGGGAGTCAGCAACTCTGGCTTGCGCCTCACGGAACAATGTCTGTTCGCGCTCAGCCTCGTCTACGTTGCCCTTCGCCGCCCAGGCGATCGCCTTGCCATAATGAAGCATTGCTGTTGTCATACAGTACAGGTTCTGGTCTTCAGGTATACGAAGGGCCAGCACGTCATCCCACTTGCCGAATCGCACGAGCACATGCACGCGCATGGAAAGAAAGCTCTCCAACCAGTCTGCCATAGGTGGAGATTCAATACGCAGCAGCTCATCTGGCAAGGAGGCCTCCACGAGCGCAACAGTATCTAGTGCAACCTGGAATTGGCCAGCGAACATCGCAGCATAAATCCGGAAGTGATAATTGTGCGATCGATACAGCGAGTAGAAGTTCAGCGCACCAGCTTTGCTGAGATATTTCTCATCAGCATCAATGGCTTCTGTGTTCGATGTTATAGCGTCTTGCCACTCGCCACAGAGCACATCTAGATGGGTGGGCATGTGGTTAAGATGACCAGCATCAGGAACCAGCCCTCGCAAGCGATTTGCTACAGGCAATGCAGCTCCCGGATCTGATGACATCTCCATGAGGTGGATGTATAGATGGAGTAATCCAGGATGCTCGCTCCCGCCAGGTTGTGCAATGGCACGATCAAGCACCGTCTTCGCATCCAGCGTCCGAGAGTCAGGCATTGGTTCGCCAGTTCGCAAGTCCCACAGAGCCCAAGGGGTAAGGTTCATCAAAGAATCAGCGTAGAGTGTTGCCACGTCGAGGTCGCCAGGGAACCTGTTGTATACGTTCTCCATGGCTTGAGCGTAGCCTTTGTTCCAGCTGCTGTACTCCTTGCTGTCATGACCCGTAGGGTATCTGAATTCTGCAGCTTCGATCAGTGCAGCCTCTACCGATGTAGCAAAGCCTAGCTTCGCGTTTTGTTCTGCGGCGAGAAGAGCTGATCTTGACCTTTGCAAGTTGGTCTCTCGCTCCTCGTCATCGAAAAACTCCCAGGGCTTATTGTAGTTCGGTCCCAATGCGTAAGCGATTCCCCAGAGAGCCTAGAAAGCGATGACATGAACGTCAGAGGATGTCTCAGACGCCGACGTGCTCCTCAATGATGGCTCTTACCATACAGCAATACGGGTCTGCTCTGTTGGCCCTTTCGAAGCAACGAGCTGCCTCCTCGTGATTGAAGCCATAAGACCACACGAGTCCTCGATCAAACCACATCTGAGCGTCGGCACTTTGTGTTGTGACCTTGCGCCCATGCGAGCCAAGATCGAAGTAGTCTCCTTCCTCAACTGCTTTGCGATCATACTCCAGAGTTGGAGCAGCGGCTCCTTGATTCTCCATTCTTCGTGGTCGTTTGCGAAAGCCGATGAAGTGGAGAGGGAGGAAAGCAAAGCGAAACGGAAAGAAAGCATCATGGCGTGCTCCCGAGCTGCACTCACTTACAGTACTGCTGGCTCATTGTGTAAGATCATGGTCGGCAGATGTCAGAGCAATGTCTCGCCAATTTCTGCTGTATCCACTCACTGTCGAGGTAGAATCAAGCTCTGGACACAGCCAGATAGGAACATACGTCGACGAGCAAGATTATCATTTGGATTGCCATTTCCGAGACGCAAGAGAGACATTCACTAGCGTCCGATGGACCGCGGCAAATCACATTCCTGGCCCGGGTGAGTGACATGGGCCAAGAGGCATCATGATGCTGTTGTTGTCGCGATGGTGCGTACTCAACTTCCTTCCAGCAACCAACATCTCATATCATAGCAGAGATGGAAGAAATCTCGGACTTTCCACAGTATCTCAAAGCCTCCAATGCGGACGGGACACATATTCTCGAAGCAACCGCGCCATGGTGCAGCCAATGCAAAGCCATTGCTCCGTTCGTAGAGAAGCTCACCAAGAAGTATCCGGAAGCTCGATTTTACAATTACAACACCGATACTGCGCTGCAGATTGCACAAGAGCTTGGAGCGAATCAGATGCCAACTTTCCATATCTTCAAGGATGGAGAGCTGAAGGATTCCATTACTGGTGCGCATGGGAAGAAGCTGGAGGAAGCAGTTGCGAAGAATTATGACGGCCGGGTAGAGGATGTGGAGTAGAAGAGTCGGAGGTTATTGAAGAGAGACGGCATATGGACAATGAGGCGCAAAGGAACAATGGCATTCGAGAGTCACGGAATTGGAGAGGGGCTTAGGATGTGCGAGTGACTTCAATGAGACTTTCATGTCCCTCCAGATTCCAGATCTTCTCGACCTTCATGTCGCCAAGTTGGGCGAATAGCTCGTTCCAGTCGTCTCTGCTTCGTTTCTTCCCGCTCAAGATGGTCAGCATTGTGAAGTCGAAGTATGCTTCGAAGAATGGACAGTCTCGGTCCGGCAGAATTACGTCGTTGATCAACAGTGTGGTATGCTGGCTCCATCGCATCACGGACATGCTTCAAGATTGAGATCGCGAACGATTTGGTTCCGTTGTGGATGATCGTCCGCAGGTAGTACGCTTTCACGTGTTGAAGAATACATGGCTGAGCCGTCAAAAAGTTGTGACCGATGGCCTCAACCGCCAGTTGGCCATTACATTCTGTTGGAATCTGTTCGACATATGCGAATGATCAATGAGTGTCGGCTTTCACCTTTCAAGAGAAGAAAGGTCAACCTTGATCGAGGGGTGGGTGATATTTCTTGGCATTGTTTACTTTTCACTTCCGAATCTGGCAACAGCCTGGCAACGACATCACAATCTTCCAAGCTGATCGACGAGCTCACGAGAATAACTTAATATGCCGACCACACGTAAGGATGCACCGCTACCCAGCATACCACAGCATGGACAGACTTTTACATTCCCAAAAGACAGACATCTGCTCATCACCACGCCAAGACATATCTTTGCTTGGGACTCTAGCGGCATCCATGAAGTCTTCCACAGCAGCAAAGGCGGCATCGTCGCCGCAAAGGAGGCCAAAGATGGATCCGGGATGCTCGCGGTCGCGAGCCGTAACGTGGTCGTCATGCATGACACGAAGCGCGGGAAGGAGGAAAGTTGGGGGTTGAATGCGCCAGAAGAAGAGGTTCGCCATCTGGAGTACTCGAACGATACCAAGTCACTATTCCTGTCCAATACTTCAGATGGCATCATCCAGCAGTACAGTGTTGAGAGATCAAGGCTGCTTGCGCCTGTGCAACAACACACTAGCTCTCCAGCCGCAGTCGCCATTTCTCCAACAGGCCATTTGTTACTATCGGCGTCAAGCAGTCCGCCTGAGATTTCTTTGAAGAATCTGGCCCATAATACCGTGCCCACTCTGATGATGCCCGAAGCGTCATCGGCATCAGTATGCTGTGCTGCGTTCCACCCTGAACGGCCGAACATGTTCATGCTGGCCTTCCGCGACGGCACTGTGAGTGCCTATGATGCTCTTCGCATCAAGAAGGATTACAACAGCTCGAGGGAAGATGGAGAGATCTCACACATCCCGAACCTCCATCGAAGCGTAGTCTTTGGAACTGCCTCGACGGGTCGATCAGGCATTGCAGCTCCAGTCATCGCAGTGGCATTCCTTCCTGGTTTCAAAACGAGAGCAGTCAGTGTTGGTCATGATGGCAGATGTAGACTCTTCGACTTCGCCAATGGTGGTTTAGTCCTCCGGACTTGGCATGCCAAAGCCCCTTTAACATGCCTCTCAGTCTTGGCTGGCAAGCCGTCAAGAACAAAATCCGCATCGAGTTGTTCCGAGCCACCGAAGGAACGCCGCCAGAAAGTGGCATCTCACACGATTGGCGGACCTACCAGTATTGATAGCATCATTGCCGTTGGTCGTGTCGATGGCAAGGTACATTTATACGACACATTGGGACTGCTTGTATCACAGAAATCTGTAAGCAGCCGAGAGGACGCGATCTTGAGCCTCGAATGGGTGCGCGGTCCATCGCCCATGTCAATCGAGGATAACGTTGGTCACTTCAGTGACGACTCTCCAGCGGCCTTGGCACCGAATACGAAGCAAACCTCAGCATCGCGGCGACAGATGAAAGTCATATCTCCTCCTCCTCCAGAACCGCAGCCTTCTGGCCTCGGCCTACCACCGGATCTACGGCCGTTGAAGGTCAGCGTTGGTAGACAGTTTACCATTCATCCAGACGAGGTTCACGCTGGGACAGTCAGGCGGAAGCCTCCATCTCCTGAGCACAAGCTCAGCACGAATCTTATCAAGAATGAATACAATGACCTCTTCTCTCCAATAAAGGCAACCGGAACTGCAACGACAACTCCAGCCAGATCGCGCATCCATAATCCCCAAAGAATTCGACCCAGGATCTCAAGCACAACTTTCACGAGACAAGTGTGGGATCAACGTGGCGGGGATTCGCGCAAGCTTTCGGTCTTGACATCTGACAGCCATGGAACCAGTTCTAGCTCTGCAACACGAACTGGTCGCTTTCGAGAAGTTTCAAGTCTGAGGCCTATTCATTGTGTCAGTACTCAGCTGTCGCCGTTCTCTACCAAAAAGCGACACATCACTTTTAAGAGAGAGCTCAATAGTACTGGTGGAGACGCTACATTTGGTCGACAGACTCCTGTTTCCAAGTCAAGCAATATCCGAGGCCAGCAAATATGTAGACAACCCTCAGCATATGCGAGTCTTGGCAGCATGTCACGCACTACCAGTCACCAAAGAACGTTCCCCACCACATCAGACACTCTCACGAGGACTCCAAATAAACACAACGACCAAGTCAGAAACGACGACGACCCTCGGTCTGCAGAATCCGAAGACGAAATGTGGTTCACCTCCGAGTCAGAAGAAGACCAGCGCCCAAGAAGACCAAGGCAACCTCTGACCAGGCCTCCGGCAAGACTAGCCTCACGTTCTCAGATCAATTCCAAAGGCACCATAAGCACTACAGCAGAAAACCACCACACCCCCTTCACCACCAACCCCCCACCCGAAACCACATCCCCCACAGAAGGTCACGAATTCACCACCGCCGAAGACTGCTCAGATCCGATAGTCTCCGCAAAAGAGCAACAACGATCACCATTCTCCCCAGCCTCCGAAACCCTCCGCCAACTATTCCCGCGCTCCTCCTCCCTCTCCCCCCGCCACAAAAAACAGCCACAGCAATCACCCTCCAATTCAAATCACCCTCCTCCTCCTCCACCTCAAAACCTCACAGCCCTAGCCCTCAACGCCGAAATCGCCTCTCGTCAACAACACCCAAAAAGTCCCTGGGCGCGAGTCCGAGGTCGTCATCACGTCGTGAGGAAAAATGAATTCGTGACGGTGTTGGATGATGATGGGTCGGCCGGAGGAGATTCATGGCAGCAGCAGCAGCAGCAGCAGCAAAAGCAAGAAGATCTGTTGTCTACGAGTGAAAGGGTGAAGGTTCTGGAAACCGAAGTGGCGAATTTGAAAGGTGAGGTTTTGGCGTTGAAAGCTGTGTTGAGAAGGAATGGGTTGCCGTTTCCGGCTTGTTTGCGTTAGAAGCGGTTGAGGAAGTGGGGGGAGGGTAGGAGGGTAGGAGGGTAGGTAGGGTAGGTAGGTGAAGGGTGGGTTATTGATTGATACAGACAGAGGGTATGATAATGATAATGATGATGAGTGAAGGTGATAATGCGGTATGCTTTGCTTTGATATGCTACTCTTTTCCTTTTCTATTCTCCCTTTTTACATTCTCACGTCCTGTCTGTCTACGTCCTGTCCATGCAACCAACAAAGACCACCACTGCACACGTCCAACACCTAACACCCCCACTCACTCACCAATCACACACACAGTACAGTCCACTCCAACATCCCACCATATCCATATCCCTACTGCGTAACAACCCCACTAACCCTCTCACCAACCCTCTCCCCTCTCCCATTCCCATGACTCTGACTAGACGGCTCCAAAATCTGCTGACAAGCCTCAATATCCTCGACCGCAAAATGAAAAACCTCTTGAACTCTGCCCCAAACCTGATTACGATTCCAATTCCCACGTTCACACCAAATGACATCCATGACTTGTGCGCGGACTTGTTCGAGTTGTTCGAGGGAGAGACCGCTACTGCGTGATGTGAGTTCTTGGAGTAAGGATGAGAGGCTGAGGTCGTCGAGGATGAGTTGAGGGGCGGGATGGGTAGTGGTGGTAGGGTCGGGGTTCTCCTCGTCTTCGGGGTTGTTGAGGAGGGCGTTGATTGAGGAGGCGCGGGGGGCGAAACTGCCTGGGGAGGATTGTTGGGAGGAGGCATGAGGCGGTGGTTCTGGGGCGGTGGTGGTTGGGGCGGAACGTGACTCGAGGGACTGTGGTTGGGTGTCGGGAAGTTGGCTTCCAGAGCCATGGCCGCTTCGCATCATGAAGAAGTCTGGATGCCCATTCGATTCCTGGGTGCTTTTGGTATGGCCACTGCTGCGGTCGCTCGTCTTCTTGGCACCGTCGTTGCTCGAATTCGTAGTCGAAGCACTATTCTGATACTGTTCGAGCTGGGAGCCTGCTTGAATTTTTGTCTGAGCCGAAGCTTGATGGAATAGGGGCGGAGGCGGGGGATGTCTACCGTTTGACGGATCATTGTCCAGCATCTCTGTATCTTCTCGTGGACGGGGTGGTACGACTGAGCCGTTTGTGTGATGAGACTCGTGGCTACTGCCATTCGTTGTGCTCCACGGGTTGGATTGGGGGAGAGGAAAAGGGTTGGCTCCTGGCACCTCCTGACCGAGTACAACCGGACCAGAGTTTTCCGTTGTGGCTTTCGACCAGTCGGGAGGAGGCACATTGGGCACGATCTTTGGCACTTCCTCGCCACGCTTCTGGGCCTCTTTGACCTTCTCAGCCCGTTTCCGTTCACGTTCTTGTTCGCGTTCGTAAACAGCTTCGCACTCCGCACACAGAGCAGCCTGAGTGACCTCGAGTGTGCCCATGTCGACTTCGACGTTAGCCAGCATCTCATTAGCTTTCAGTAGTCTGTCTTGGTCTCCAAATGCCTTGGCGTCTTTTGCTAAGCGCTTGATATCGGCCAAGAAATCTTTAGGCCGCTTGTAGTATCCGTTCGACAAGCGCTTCTCTATGGTTACGATTTCGAGATTGTAGTAGAACTTCTGAGAGGCAACCTCACGAATTCCAGGTACGCCCTTCTCATCCTGGTCGATCTCATAAGGTCTGAAAAGGAGTTGTTGTGCTTTCTGCTCTTCGGTAAGATCTGATGTGAGGACCGTCGGGTTCTGCTCGTCGAATAGATAGGCAATGGTCGCCTCTTCAACTATTGGCGTCCTGAACTTCCTGTACTTGAGCTTTATTTGTTCCATGACAGGTTGTATGTGTAATTTGAGCATGTTCAGAGTCTGGTGATCTTTCTTTTTCTGTGCTTTGAGCTCGGCTTTGCTGGGACCTTCGGGTGCGGCAGGAGCAGGAGCAACCTCGAGTTCCGCAAGCTTGCGTTTCTTACGCTGGTCCAAGTCCGGAAACTCACTAGGAGGCTTGCGAATGAAATCAAGAATGGAGCTGAAGTATTCGCTGCGTGCAAAGCTGTCGGGCCGTTGCAGGGCGTACTGATTCTGTGTCGAATAGCCAAAGAGGTCTCGAAGCAGCTGAGGGTCTATCTCATCGTCTGGGTGCTGTAGCTCCAGGACGCCCAGTACGAGCACGGGTTCAGAAGGCTGCAAGCTGCGCAGGAGGCCAACAAACGTTCGTTTTACGGTGTCCGATAGCGTTTCCCACCAGTAGTTCACTCCTGGCAGGTATATCACACTGGGCTTGTGTCGCTTGACCTCTTCGAAAAGCTGCACGACGGCGGCCTCCGGAGACTAAGGATTGATCAGTATGGGGCAATCTTGGTCTGGACAGGTCGTAACTTACTCTCGTCGAGTCCTTGATCAATGTAGCAAGATCAAAATTCTGTACATGTAAGCCTTCGAATTTGCTGAGCAGAGCAGCGCCCAGGTACTGCTGGCCCATTCCTTCGACGCCTTTTATCAGAAGTCTAGGTCGGAAGACGCGGGATGCCTCGAAATCCCGCTGCATCGTTTCCTTCTCGAACCCAAGCTCATCATCACGATCATCGTACATCGCCTCTTCTAGAGCTGTCACTTTGCGCTTGCGTGGAATAGCTTTGTCGATCCGTGCAGTGATCTCTTCAAGCGCTCGTCGTAAGAGTGGCTCGATGTCCTTCTTCAAAGGCGCGGCGCCTGACGACGCCGATCGTTCTGAGGAAGGCACGATCTTGTTCACCGAGATCATGAAATCCTTGGCCAGAACCCTGATTGTGCTTGGATCGATGATGAGCTTCTTATCACTCTGGTAGATCTGCGGGTAAGTGCCTTGCACGGCGTTTAGAGCTGCTTCCGTGCAGAGCGCTCGCAGGTCGGCACCTCCGTAGCCACGAGTGAGCTCCGCGAGCTGATCTTTGAAGTCTGGTCGCAAAGGCGGATCCCAGCCTTTCGTATGGATATCGATGATCTTGCGACGTCCAATTGCATCGGGCAAAGGAAAGTAGAACTCTCGATCGAAGCGCCCTGGCCGTCGCAAAGCAGGGTCGACAGAGTCTGGTCTGTTGGTTGCGCCGATAACAATCACTTGGCCACGACCATCCATGCCGTCCATCAAAGCCAGAAGGGTTGCCACGATGGAAGCGTGAATCTGCTCCTGCTTGCTAGACCGGACAGGTGCAAGACCATCAATTTCGTCGAAGAAGATGATACTCGGTTGATTCTTCCGAGCTTCTTCGAAGAGCAAGCGTAACTGCTTTTCAGCTTCACCAACCCACTTAGAGAGTGCATCGGCTCCTTTACGCATGTAGAACGTAACCTTGCGGCCGTGAGAGCTTACGCTGGATGCCAAAGCTCGCGCAAGCAGTGTTTTACCAGTACCAGGAGGACCATGGAAGAGGACGCCTCGCGGCGGAGTGACGTGAAAACGTTGAAAGACCTCCGGGTACAGCAACGGCAAGGCGACCATCTCCTTCAACTGGTTGATGTGATTATCCAGGCCTCCAACTCCATCGAAAGTGACATTTGTATCGACGCCAAGAGGGTCAGCATCGGCGAGCGCTTTCTTGTCCTTGACCTTACCAAGTCCAGGTGGACCGCCTCCAGGTCCAGTAAGAGGGTCGTTGTTGAGGGCTTGAGGAGCAGCGTAAGGCTTGGGAAATGCAGATGTAGGCGTCATACCTACAGTGCCACCAACGCCTTGCTGACCAGCACGACCTCCCATCTCGTCGTCGCTGCTGTCCGAGTCCACACCACCTGTAGCGCCAGCGGCTTCTGCACCGCCCAGAACAGGAGGTGGCCCTCCACCACCGCCAAAAGGTCCAAATGTCGAGAACAGACTACGATAGGTGTGAGTAGCACCACGGCGATTGCGCTGAGGTGTGGCAGCTGGCAGAGCGGGTGCATCATCGTCTTCGAGGGGAAGTAGGAGCTCCGGTCGCAAGATACGATAGTCTGGCCGGTTTCCACGATTTCGTAGATTTGGCTCAAAGTTGATCTCTGTAGAGCGATCTTTGTTGCGTTGTTTCCTGGGTCGCTCCCGATGTATCCTCCGCCGATCTTCTTCTAGTTCTGCGGCCTCATCCGCGATCTCATCGATGTCTGGTTCATCGTCCTCGTCTGCTGAAGCATTCCGCCTGGACCGGCTGCGCTGAGACGCGGACTTGCGACTCAATCGTCCTGATCGCCTACCGCCCTGGGAACTTGCCTCATTGCTGCTGTTCCTACCACGGCCGGGCTTGAGATGATTGTCCGAATCGGAGAGTTCCTCCTCTGCGTCTGCCTCGCCTTCAGCGTCCGGCTCAAAATCACTCGTGTTCTCCGCGCCTGATCGTCTAGTGTTACGTAGCGATCTGCGCGTCCTCCCTTCAGTAGGATGTGATGCTGGCGGCGTTGATGCTTTTCGGCGCGTTCTGAGGTTGCGACCGCCTCTGGAGATCGGCCCTTCATCCTCATCTTCAGCGTCATCAGGGTCAGGTTGTGACTCCTGCACAACGTGTTCTTCATCTTCATCATCGTGATCCTCCATCACAATATCGTCACCGTCGCCCTTCGTGCCAGAGGGAGCTGGAGATGTGCGCTCGACTTGCGGCTCTTGCTGACTAGCCTCCAGCTTCGAGAAAAAGTCTGCGCCTTCAGCTGTGGGCGGAACCTCTGCAACAGGCGCGTTCTGCTCGAGGTCTTCCTGTGATGCCTCAAATATGGCGCTCACGGGCGGCTTTTTAAGCCCTTTGCCTCCTCTTGTCGTGCGACGCGTAACAGGCTCCGGAGTCGCGCTGCCAGCTCTGGTGACGATTTCGTGCTTACCAGAATCGGTGAGAGCAAACAGCGGATCCTGTTCGTCGTGTGAAATGCGACTGCTGCGGCGAGTGATGCCTGTCGAGGGAGCAGATTGCGGCGTGGGCTGTCTCTTAGATCTGCTGGAAGTGCGGGCGCGTGTCGTTCTTCCACCGCCATCCATGCTCAGCGGCACTCTTAGCTTGACAATCAACGAGGCTTTCTTGGTCGCTGCAAGCTTGATCTTCGTTCGGCTTCGCGCAGGCGTGGGCTGTATGGGATCGCGCTCGCTTTCTTCGTCGCTGTCTGCTATGATCTCGTCGTCCTCATCACTCTCCTCGTACTTGATCTGCTTCTTCGCCACCGATCGCTGGCCTCTGCCTGTGCGTGGATTGATCTCGAGTGGCGCTTCCTCGGATGCGTCGGAGTAGGATGCTTCTTCCTCGCTGCCGGCGTCGCTGTCTGGGTCGATATCGCTGTCGTCGTATCGCTGGCGTTTGGCTGCCCGCTTCTGCGGAGAAGCTTTGTTGGCTTTACGCGAACGTGCTCGCGATCGTGGCTTGGGAGATGCTGCTTCTTTCCCGTCCCAGTCAAGGTCGTCACTGTCGCTCTTCGTGGGGTCCCAGGTCTCGAGCTTTCGCTTTGATGCCATACGGACTGCTCGATTTTCGCGCGGGGACTGCCAGCGCTGCCTAGCCGTGCCTGATTCTCACTTGCGTTGCGGCCTACCAGATCGCAGGGAGCGTGAGCTGCTGCCGCAGCATCGGAGGAGTCGTCGCAATCCGATTCAGTCACGTCTGCGCGGACCACACGCGTTGCCAAGCCAATGTTTCACTTGACACGGCCGTCCACCACGAAGCAATTATTACATAGAGATGAGAGTGCAGACTCCAAGGACGGATGAGGTGAAGAAGAGGAGTGGGAGAGAGTGTGATGGGGGGGGGGATAGACGAGGCAGAGGCAGCGATGCATGGTTGGCCCTCGCGCTTCGATGCATCCCGACTTTGATACTATGTGCTGAGTCCAACTTGTCAGTACGGTCCGCAGAGCCGCCTCCTCTCTTGAGCCGTATAGGGGTAGGCAATAGGGGCACTTTTACGTGGTTTTTATCGTGTTTCTTCCCAATTGTCGTCGTCGAGTAGAGGATAATCGTGTGTTCGAGCCCCGTACGCGTATTCTGACTGTTTCCGAGTGCTATACTGCAACAATAATACCGATAAGAGCGACTCGTACGACTGCCGGCGTACCTCTAGCGCGATTAGACGACGAATTGATTGTCTCTACGCTAAAGAAGGTAATCTATACTCTCGAGAAGGCTATTAGTCCGCCGCTAATTAGACGGAATGCTAATACGGCTTAGCAGGTAAAGGGTAGCTCGAAGAGTAGGTCTTCCGGCGGTAAGAAGGGTAAAGCGACTGCCGTAGAAGAGCCTAACCTAATCGTTAATCCCTCGGGTCTACTAAATAAGGAGACCGTAGTACTGCCGGCAGAGGATAATAGCGGTATAGCGTTACTAAAAACGGCTGTTTCTTCCTCCGCTACGACCTCTATATCCTTCTCTTTTAATACCGCGTAGAAGGCCGCTACTGCTACTAGTAGCTAGGCTACGCTTACCGCCGGCAACGTTCCTATTACTTAACCTAGCTCTTTCTTAGACGAGACCTTCTATTATAAAGGACAGTAGACTGTGTTTAATGTAACGAAGAAGGGCGCGGCGCGGACAATAGTAACGAAGCCGGTAAAGTTTTTATCGGCTAATAAATAAGAAGCTTAGAACGGATACGCGTAGGTAGCGAAGATAGCGAAGTTGTATAGCTTAGCGGTATTCACTCGTATCGTTATCTATACTAGAGCGGACGGTTAGAAGACGGCGTTTACTAGCGATTAGCATTAAGCTAGAGATAATATTAATAGCGACGAGGTCTATAGTAAAGCTCTAGATACTAGCAAAGGATTAGCGCTTACCTCGCGTAAGAATGTCTTTATTAATATTAACTTCTTTACGAAGCCTAAAGCGATAGTAGTAGCTAGATCTTTAGGTAGCAAGAAGTTAGTTAAACCGGCTTCTAATCTAACCTTAATTCAGCTTACTAACGCCGGCGTTGTAATAGCTAAACTCGAGACTTAGAAGCGGTACGACTATTAGATTATCCGTAACTTTCTATATACGATAAAGGACTGTAGTAACTTCTAGAAGGCTAGTAAGTATACGTACTAGCGTAACCGGAAGCTAAAGGATTGTAGCGAGAATCACTTTCCGTTCTTCGAAGCCGCTATAATCGATAGCTATAAGGCTATAGCTTCCGGAGAGTAGAAAGTTAACGAGCAAATTAGCGCTCTCGAAGACAGGTTACTAGTAAGGTTAGAGATTAAGTTAATTAAGAGAAAGGTCGAGAATAATATATAGAAGACTGCTATCCGGAAGATAAGAGGTCGCCGTAGTAGTAAGTCTAACTCCCCTCGGAAGCCTAGAAGTGCTAGAATTTAGCCGATTATCCTTAACAACTTTAGTAACGATCTCGGCCGCATTATCGACAATAAATTACGAGGCAGCGGTATTATTCTAGGCACGCCTTCTCGTACGCCTAGACGAGCGCTTGTTAAGACTAGATTGCGTAATATTATACTACCGCGCAATATCGTCTAGTACGAACAGCTAACGGTAGAATTCTTCGACTAGGTATCTCTTTACCGCGATTTCTAGGACTACGACTATCTACGGCCCTATATCGCCTATTTCGTCGGTATAGGCTAGACGCTAGAGACTATCTATAACTTAACAAAGGACGACTAGCCGGCGGCACTTAATAAAGTAGATAGAATAAGGTTAAGATTAAAGAAAGCTATCGTCGAGTTTATAAGGAAGAAATAGGATAAGATTATAGCGGCGGAAGTAGCCGCCGCTAAGGAGGGAGAGGATTTCTAAGAATTCTTAGCTTCGTTTAGGCTGCAATCTTTGCATATCTACAATATATATAAACTTGTAATAAGCGGGAGATTCTTACGGTAATAGCACTTATTTAGCCTATATATAATTAATTAATATACTGCGTTAGTTGTAGAACACTAAGCGCGATAGGCAAAGCTAGCGTTCGAATATATTTATTCGAATCTCTACCTACGGCGCTTGCCGCGCGCTAGTCGCTACTAGTTACATTACTCGAAGTCGTTAAAATCTACCTCTTATTCCTTATCTTCCTTATTATCTTCTTTATACAATATATACAGCTCTTCTATATTATCTAGCACTAACGGCTTATTATTCTAAGCCTATTATATCTATTAGGACTCTTCCGGGTCGAGTGCTATTATATTCTAAGCGTTACTAGCGGTCGACTCGAATTGCGAAGCGTCGTACGGCAAATCTACCCCTTCGATATTATATCTAGCATAAGCGAAGAGTTCACGCGCGCGGCGGCCTCGATATAGGTATAGACAATATAGTAAGTAATCTTAAAAGCTAAAGAACTTCGGCAGCTAACTTCTGTATCTTTTAATAGTCTTCTTTAGTAGATTGAAACTGCCCTCGATAGGGTTCAAATCCGGACTATACGGCGGTAAGTACTCGAGTCGATATCTAGCATCGAGAATCGCCTACTTAATCCTCAATCTATAGTAAATACTAGTATTATCTATTACAAAGATCATTAGCGGACCTTCTTCGAGATATAGAAGCACCTGTTTAGTAATCTAAGTATAGAAACGGTTAGTATTAATCGATCCTTAGTATACGTAGGTATATAGCAAGTAGCTATAAACCGTAAAGGCCGGCAGCATACTCTACTATACTTCTCGCTTCGTATACTAGAGATCCAAGTATATAATACCCTTTAGACTCTAGCTATACTTCCGCTAACCTGTCTTCTAATTGCTAGTAGTCTCGTCGATAAACACTAGTCGATCTACCGGCTATTTAGCGTACCTAATCGTCTATAGAGCCCTTAAGAACGGGTTACGTTCCTTCGCCGCCCGCTTTACCTCCTTTCGAGTATACCCGTACCTTTTTAATACTATACCGATTAGAGACGGCCGAAGCTCTACTATACCCTTTCCGCCCTTATTTACTAGCCGTAGCTATACAAATTCGTCTTAAAGAGCTTGGATTATCTCTATAAAGTATGCGTCCGGTCGATCGTCGAGATACCCGAGTATAAACTCCTCTTCTATAGCGAGAAGTTAGAGGTTCTTATAGCTACGCCGAGTGCTAGTATTCTTTAGATATAACGCTCTAGTTATGCGATATCTCTCTTAATAGCGATACACTAATCTGACTAATATTAAAAGCTTTGCAAAGGCATATATCTGCTTAGCAGTAAAGCCCTTCTTAAAGAGATTAATTAGTTAGCCTTACTAGTCGTCGTTAATGCGCGCTTTCTTTACTATAGCGGACGACAACAACACCTCGGAAGGGTCTATACTACTGGAAAACCGTCGACACGATATCTACTATATATTAGAGGACTATAGGCCTCAGAAGGAGAACAAATAATTCAAAAACCACCAAAATGGCGGTGTGGTTCCTCTCTCGGAGGTGCAGGGTTCTCCCCGCACCGGCACTGACAAGTTGGACTCAGCACATAGTACTATATCCGTGGAGACGCGCAGCATGCAAGTGCCAGGCAGGCCTCCAACAACCCATAATCCAGACACCACAATAACGCACACCAACACACGCTCTCGTCAGCAAAATTACTATCAAATTGGTCGCGTAAATTTTCTGATTGTTCTGACACCCATTTCGCCCAGCCAAGCATCGACATAAAGACGTGTCTTGCGACGGCGATTTCTTGAAAGATTCATACTCCACAGCTCCTCAGGCGCAGGATCAGCGTACCTGGCGCTGGAGTGCGACTTAAATTCGACCTCACTTCATACAACTTCGCTGCTGCTGCTGTCATGCTCTGAGACGACCACGTGACCTGGAGCTTCCTTGCAGCCCGGCACACTTGCTCACTACTGCAGTGCCGATGAGTTGAGAACGCCTGTTTCTTCGCTCCATTTGGAGGCTTCGGAACTCGTTATTTCGGCTAGAATACTCACCCTTTGCCTTACTTCTGGTGATAGCCATGAGCAACGTCAGTCGCCTCTGCTGTCTGCATTGGACACAAGCGTCAGAGACGAGGATGGAAGACTAGCACACTTTCGCGCATTCCCGCCTTTCAATGACTTGGTCTAGTGCAGTTCAGTTCTTGCACATTTCAATCTTGTCGCTACGAAGTGGACTTGGACTTGGTATGGGGATTGACCTGTTATAGCACAGTAGGCGCTCGCCAAGAATTCTTGCCTAAGGCACCAATCTTCAATCCGCAGAGTCGCACTCGCTCCGTGACCACCGTGACAGTTTAATGACTTATCTTCTTGAAGCGAACATGAAAACACTCACTGGGTTTGAGGATGAAAGAAACAGTATGTAATGTGAGTTCGTTTCAAACGAAGGTCTGAGTTTGGCATGCTTCGTGGGACATCTTCTTCAAAACTACAGTTACATGCGCCGATTGCTCCGCCTTTCAAGTGTGCTGTAATGAGCCACTTACGCCCCCATTCGTGTCATTTGATGTCAACGTGATGCCGCATCTGTGTGCACCACAAAGCTATACAACCTCGCCGTACAAAGGAACAGGTGATATCGACATTGGTCCTGCGATGGAACAGCAAGTTCGCTTCTTGCCTTCATTCTTTTGAACAGGCACCCTGCTACTCGACTCTCGGCGAGAGATTGATGCTGGAGGCTGGGCCTCCTTCATAATTGTGAATGAGTCGTAGCGTCCAAGCATGTTGATTGCACACGACGCTGCGGGAGTGGGCGACACATCACGGTCATCCAACTCCATAGAGTCCTCGAAGGACTCGTTGAGCAAATATCGGACTTCTTCTTGAAGCTCGGAGCGGCGATTGCCGTGTGGGCGAACACGCTTCCGGCCCTTGTCTGTTGCAGCTGGAGGCAGGTTGTGTCCAGCATGCTTGGAAGCACGACTGTGTCTGTGAGGTGTATGGGAGACTTTCTCACTGATGGAAAAGTCGGCCGTGACTGGGCTTGACACCATCTCCAAATCGTCCTCGATGATGATTGGCTGGATCGCGCTCCCTTCGGTCTCTTCCTTGACCCACTTGGGCAGCAATCCAGCATTGCGACAAGTCGCCTGGCGAGCCAAACAAGCTCGCTGTGGCGCCATTGACGAATACGAGGATGCTGTGGAGACGGAAGAGATGGACGACGAGCGCGATGCTCTCGAGTTGTCAGACACCATCGACTCTGGGCTGGATCCGGTAGAAGCGATGCTCATGATTGATGGACGTCTTGTGGTGGTTGTGTACCTGGGCTCGAAGCTTGGCACGCCAGCGGGGTTGGAATCAAAGATGCATCTGTTCATGCTGGTCTTCTGAGCCGAAGCCATTGCAGAGCACATCGACGGTCGACGAGAACCACACACACTCGCTGCAGGAGTACTGGTGGCAGTCGAAGACGGCGTCATGTTCGGCGTAGGCAGTGGACCCATGCGAGCCAAGCCGGGAGTGGGCGGTGCGATGTCTGGCTTGGGCTCCAAGAAGCGAGGAAGCGAAGCCAGGGTAGACATGGCAGTTGGTGTGCTCTCGTGTGATGTAGAGTCGAGTGGAGGTACCTTGAACGCCATCTTAGCGGGAGTTGGTGTCGTCGGTGAGCCCACGTCATAGCAGAAAGCTGGCTCGGAGTCAAAAGCCATCTTGCTTTCCAAAGCCATCTTGCTCTCCACCATTGGCAAGTTGTCAAGCTCTGGAGTGAGCAGAGGCACCATACGCTTCCAAGTAGATGTCGCAGATGGTACACTCCAGCTTGGAGACGGTGGAGGCTGAGGCGTGTACCGAAGCACGACCTCTTGCCACTTCTCAAAGATTGGCTTTGGTATGTGAAGCTTCCAGTCGACCTTGCTGAGAAAGGTGCGCTCGTTGGTGTTGATCTCGCAGACGTTCAGCCCTGACATCTTGCTCCAGGCCTTGGCCGAGTAGTTGCGGTCCTGCAAATACTTCGATGCAAGAATGAGAGCTGCGAGAAACATGCGGCGTCCGCACATCAATGCACGCTCTGCTGGCGAATCCATGCTCAGCTCCATGGTGAAGTCACGCTTCGGTACGTGTGGTCTGATGAGGACCAAGTAGTAGAGTGCAACCTGAAGGGTTGAATAGCTAGTGCGCGATCGTCGCAGTGTCTCTTCAATGTAAGTGCGGAGCGGCAGTACGCCTCGACCGCTAGCCTCACTCTGACAAGGGACTATCGACAGCGGCCAGATGACTTCCACCATCTGAGTTGCTGAGTCTTGGGGAGATGCTTAGCGTCCGTTCCGATCAGGCTTCACTGGTTTCGATGTGCTTACCGACGAGATTGTCGACGAAGTTGATCTTTCGATCGCGTTGTCTAACAAGAGGTGGAGGCCTCTGGTTCCTTGACAGAGAAGTCCTTCGCGGATGTTGACGCTGCGGTGCTGGGACCGAGGTCACGTCCGCATAAGACATGCACTGTCCGTTACCCTTCAATAGATTGCTGAGCACTGCAGGCTCTTCTAGCTGCTGGTTGTTGCTTTGCGCTTGAAAGCGCAGCTGTGCCTGAGCACATATCCGATCTCTTTCTCGTGCATCGTCATGAGTATATCGAAAGTCGTCCGAAACGGAGCTCGCTATGGAGCTTGATGCTGACAGGGTGTCTGAGAAGACAGAGAGGTGTGATGAAGACGACGCAGAGGATGCGATCGACGGCTCGTATGGGCCACGATGCTCAGGGAGTGATGAAAAGCCATCAGAGCCACGATCGACGTATTCCGAGTTCATCCTGCGCCTCGCTATGCAGTAGATGTGTCCGTTCAGAGTATAACCGTTATGAGTGTTTGATGACCCAGGGACGCCTTCCAGATGCGGAAAGACGTTGAAAATCAAAGAGTACGCGCAAACATAAGCAAAAATGCTGTTGTCGACGCGTAAATGATTGACTGGAGGTAGGAGGTCAAAGATGTAGCAAGGCCGAATCGGGGTCGCACCTTCCTCAAGCAAATTCCACCTCAGCCAGCAGGTTCAGTATTCCAAGCAGTGTGTGTCTCTTCTTCCGCAGCTGATTCAACGAATCGCAAAGCCCCCAAAGACGAGTATGGTCTTTAGAAGCTCCAAAATCTTCCCGAATGGTTGTCTGTATCTACAACTTCTGAGCGAGAAGGACGGAATCGATGGACTTGGAGGTGTATGAGCTGCTGACTGGGGTGTTGGCGTAGGGCATGGAGAGGATCATGCTGACAGTGGTGGGCGTATAGATCGAGTAGTACTGCTAGTGAAGGCGACTATCTCGATATATTGCCGTCGAGGCTGGTTGCAAAGATGCAGTCAGAGGAGGATTGGTCGAAGTGAGTCGACAGGTGAGGTGGAGTGATAGGTCGTGGCAGGCTCAGGATTGATCGCGCTAGATATGAGCGGTGTTGCGCAGCAAGGCGGTGGCGATATGTCCGTCCTCGCAGCCGGTTTGTGGGAGAGCAAGTGGCGCTAGTGGGCAGCGCTTGAGTATTAGGAGTGAAGAAGAGTGAAGAAGAATGAGGATGAGTATGAGTCGAGGTGTGAGTGAGTGGAGGGTTGTGGCGAAAGGCTGGGCAGGGTAGTGTATGCTGGATATGACACACAAAGAAGGCGAGGCAGAAGGCAGCAACTGGCCGGACTGGGGGTGGCGTCGATGGAAGTGCGCGACAGCGAAGTCTGCAGCATCAACAACAAGCCTCAGGTGACGGACAGTGGATCTGGTCTTCTATTCTCTGCGCGCACTCGACGTGCTCTTCAGTGCAGTGTGGGCCATGACAGGACTGCCAGCTGTAGCAGAGGCAGAAAGAAGAGGGGTGTTTTGAGGTGAGCACTGAGCAGCGCTTTGGAGTCATCGCAGCGCGGGCTGGGCCGATGGCTCGTGCACCCCGGCGAACTGGCTGGGCTGGGTTCAAGGTTGTCGTCGCCCTCGCCCTCGCCCTCGCCACCAGCTGCGCACATCTCATCATTCGATGCGACTTTGACTGTGCCACTGCCCATCCATCCGAGTGCATTCATCCACATTCAACAATTCAACAATACAGAATTGGCGGGCGGCATCACTACCACCGAGAGACTGCACAATTGCCGCCACACATTCACTACTCCCCCAAGTAAAGGGTTGCAATACTAGGCGGATAGAAAAATTATATCCAGCGGATTCACACTCCGGGCTTCCGAGCGCTAAGAAGAGAAGCTTAGCTAGCAATTAGTTAGCAAACCCTACTAAATCTATATACCTCTTCCTCTACCGATATTACGCGTTCCTATAATCTCGAAGAATACTAAAATATCGCTTTTTCTAATAATATAGCGGATCCTACTAGTAGCGAGGATACTACGCCTAGTAGTACTATATAGGTATACGAAGAAGCGCTTCCTAGTCGACCTAACGAGTTTACTAACTAGTAGTTAGATAAATTAAATCCTATAGGCTATAGATAATAGTAAGGCGCTAGAGGCTAGTACTAACTAGTTAGACTAGTATAGAGAAGAAGGTATATATTTTAAGAATTACGATATCGATTTCCGCGGTTCTAAAAGTATCGAATATATACTAATCTCGATATCTATTCTAAAGGTATATCTATCGTACGACGCTTACCTTAATAACTTAATAGACTTCTACTAAAAGAAAGGCTTTATATTTACGTATAATAGCAGTATTCGGCGTAATACTAATAGCTAGGCGTTTGCTATACTAATACGCTATTAGAAGGGATTTAGAAAGAGCCGTCTAGCGAAGAATCTAACTAAGAACTATACTACTATATTAGATAGCGATCCGTATTAGGCGATAGTTATACTAGGAGCTATAGATAAAATTATTAAAGCTAAATTAGATAGTAAGTAGACCTTTACAAATAGTAAGTATCTAGGCTATAGCTATAAGGGTATAGACGCTTCTAGATTAGCCTTCTACTATTACAGATATAAAGGCGATAAAGTAAGAGATTAGAGTAGTATTAGAGGCTATATATAATTAGTATATAACTAGCTCGAGTAAAGCTAGGGTCCTAGTGCCTTAGGCAGGGCTTAGCGCTTAGCGTTAGGCTAACTAGCCTGCCTTCCTCCCTCTTCTCTTAGATCTTTATCGAATACTATACTAACCTACTACTACCCTATCTACCTACTAATATAACCCTTCTTATATAGTATTCGATCTACCTTTTAAGAGTAGTAGCTAGATAGTCCTTATTTCAAGCTTTTAGCGGTATAACTACGAAAACTATCGATTTAACTATATTACGCCTAAAGAATAGGACCTATACGTACTATTCTATCGAAACAACCGTACTAATTATTAAGTAAGGCCTTCTATACGGCCTATTATACTAAATTAATCGCACTAAGCCGATACCTACTAATTCCGCTATATCCGCACTATAGAGGCCTATAATACATTATTAGTATTACCCCTTATTATCTACCTCCATTCAGGCGCTTCGTGCACGTGACCGGCCTGCCGGCTTTATAAGCGAAGCGCCTAAGGACAAACCGTTTAAATTAGGCGTAGCTGCAGCTATACGATAGAGAATTTGTCCGCTCGAGGGTAATAGTACGACAACGACGCATTTAACAGATTTTGTTATATAAGATTGCACCTAGATATTCTAGTAAAGAAGGAGCGCGTCTTTTTTATATAGGATATAGACTAGAATTGACAGAATTATCTACTACAAACGTGTTTTATTGTTTGCGGCTATCTCGAAACCTCTCTCCCCTCCGGAGTCGTAACAAGATACCTAGTCGCTTAAAATTAACGCGACAACTCGGAGATCCATCTTTGAGAGGTTCTTTATAGCCTCTATAGCTCTGCTTTTGTATCGCAGCACTGCGTTGTTACTTTATTGTCGTCTAGGGCTACCGTCGCAATCTAAAGCCCGCCTTATGCGTTAAAAGTCCTGCACTATCCGCAAATTTTGTCTACCTCTTGTGATAATCTTTCTGTATGCATCCGTAGCTCGGTCCTCGATAGCATTTCTTGTATTATTTATTATGTTCAGATTTTGGTGTGTTTAGAGAGAGCGGTTTGTCTTTAGGCCCTCGCAAGCGAGGCGGCTTTTTAAGCTAAGCCTTGCTGCCTAAGGGCCTGAATAGAGGTAGCTTATTATAATAGCCGGCTTATTACGAAATACTAATAATAACTGCGGCGCCGCTAGTAGCGCTAGTAATAACAATACTAGTAGTATAGAGCCTACTAACAAAGAACCTGTAATTCTAGGCGATAATCTAGAATTGCCTATTAACGACGTTCTTAATAATATTGTTAATCGTCGATATAGCTAACTAGCCTTTAGCCCTTAGCTAGTAGCGAGACTTTAAGAAGCTACTCGGAACAGGCTCGCTGCTTTACGTTAAGAATAATAGCTAAAGGACAACCTTCTCGAGATTCGCCGCCTCTAGGAATCTCTAATAACTACTACTAAACTAATAGTAGGGCCTTCTTTACTACCTATTTAAAAGAAGGATACTAAACTTAAGGACTATACTATGTTTAATAGCTCTAGTAGAAAGCAATATAACGACTATATTCGTAACTATAAGCTTAATTAGCGAAACGTACTAAGGGCTCTTCTAGACGACTATTTGTTAGTCGTCTATGCTATATAGTATATTAATAGAGACCTAAAGCGTACCTAGGCTAACTATTCTAACTCCCTTAATAATTAGACCGCTATTTAGTAGCAGGACTATAAGACTATTATACTAAACACCCTTAGTAACCCTATATTGCGATAGTAATATAGATAGGACTAATACCTATATACTAAACAAAAGGCCGACTAAACCTCTCGATCCTTCGAGGCCTATCTAAAGACCCTTAAGGACGATTTGCTACCTAAGACCGACTCTATCTAGATATCTAAGATACGACCTAAACTAAGATAGGAATTAGTCCTTAAATTAGACCGCCGCCGTGTGTTTAAATAGGCTAACCTTATACGCATTTGCATTTAATTTATAGTCGAAGTAGAAATAGCTAAACGAGCTATCTAGCTTTAGTAACAACTAGAATCTAAGATACGGCTAGCCGTTAATAACCGTAGCTATAGTAGAAACTAAGGAAGTATATCCTAAACGAATACTACTAATAATAGAAACAGCAACGACTACTAACGTAGAAGAGGCAGAGGCCGATACTATAGTAGAAACCCCTAGTAAGAAAGAGGGCGAGGAAGGGGCTTATTTCTATATATCCCTAATCGTTCCTCTAATTCTAGCGCTAATCCGAACGGACCTAGCAGTGCCCTAACTAGATATAGGTGCTTTAATTATAATAGCACTACTTATTTACTAGGCTAATATAATAGACCTCGAGACTAGGCCCGAGTCGACCGTACTGCCGCTAAGTACTAAAAAGCCCTTTTAGTAGCTAACGCTATCCCTATAGGCTAACCTTCTAACTAGTCGAAAAAAGAATAAGCGCCGTACTAACTATTAGCCTCGTACGGCGTAAAACTATCGACATTATACTAGCTATTATACGTACCTGCCTTATATAGGATACGTATAGAACTAACTATAAAACTAAGGTTACGCTAGATCTAGGAAATTTAGTTAGTGCCCTTATTAGCTATCGCTTAGCTAAGCAATTAGACCTCCGATAACTAAATAGGGCTAACCTGCTAACCCTTGCTTAGTTTAATAACGCTCGGTACTTAACCTATAGAGCCTACTATATTCCTATAGTCCTAAAGGACGACCTCGGAAATAAGCGCCTACTAGACTTTACTGCCTACGTAGTAGATATAGACAACTTATATAGAGGAGCTACTATTATTATTAGTAACCCTGTCCTTAAGCAATACGCTATAGTTATAGACTTAGGTAGCTAATAGTAGCGATTTAGAATTGCTAGGAAGGAGAATATTAAACATATTAACGTTAGCGAGTGTCCTAATAACATTAAGGTCCTATTTATTAGCAACCTAACCTTAGCTAACCCGACTACCGACCTACTTAGTAGTAATAACGACGAACCTATGCCTCCTAATAGTATAGACCCTAAACAGCTCGAGCGTATACTAGAGCCTATTCGAGAGACCTATATTAATATATTTAAATACTACCTAGTATCGACATTGCCTATATTTAAAGAGACGGACTATAAGATCGATATTATATAGGGCAAGGAGGTTCCTTTTAGACTACTCTATAATCTTAGCGAACGCGAGCTTGCTATACTACGTGAGTACCTAGATAAGAACCTAGCTAATAGTCGAATTTAGTATAGTAACAGCCCTACTAGTATACCTATTCTATTCGTACTAAAGAAGGATAGTAGCCTACGCCTATATATCGATTATCGTAGGCTTAATACTGTTACTATTAAGGACCGCTATCTACTTCCGCTTATTAATAAGACCCTTAACCGCCTTTCTAGCGCCTGCTTTTATACTACGCTAGACATTAAGGATACGTACTATTATATCTATATTCGTAAGGGCGATAAATAGAAGACGGCCTTCTATACTCGTTATAGCTATTTTAAGTACTTAGTTATACTATTTAGGCTAGCTAACGCCCCTGCAATATTCTAGTCCTATATTAATCGGGCCCTATTAGGCCTACTAGACTACCTCTATATAGTTTACCTAGATAATATCCTAGTCTATACCTATTTACCTAATATTGCAGAACATTAGGCCGCCGTACGTAAGGTACTCGACCGCCTGCGGGCCTATAGACTATATTATAAGCCTTCTAAATGCACCTTTGCTACTAAGGAGGTAGCCTTCCTTAGCTTCCTCGTATTAACTAAGGGTGTTAAGGCT